AGGAGGAGGAGGAGGAGGAGGAGGAGGAGGAGGAAGAGGAAGAGGGGGGAGGGAGGGACCAACGTATGGCCGTGAGTCCCGCTGCGCTCAGACCGTCGTTTGTCTGTCTGCCCTGCGGCCACTGGCCTCGTCCTTCATCCCTGGCTTGCTCAGTAGTTTCGCCGCTTCGCGCTCCAGACCTTCCTGCGGCAGCGAGAGGAAATTGTACCCATACCGCTGCTATTCCCTCGTTGTTCCTTTTTTCGGCATCCTGGGCGGCCCTCGTCGCCACCGCTGTTTGCATCGAAATCCTGGTCAGAACGCACCTCAGGAGAGGTCCAGGGAGTAGCGGTATCGGTACATTTTGGTTTCCCAAGTAGCGTCTGTCCAGACCACATTCTCGAGCGTCCGGCAAGCGGCGCCACTCAGTGTCATGCTTGGGTCGTCCACCGCGCTTCTCTGCAGCCAGGAAGCGGCGTGGGCCTGCGAGTGCAGCGAGAAGTGGGGGCATCGCGGGGATCCCCGCAATGTCGTCGCTCCGGCCAGCAAGGCCAGTGCGTCCACAGGCACAGGCTCCGACTTCGGGTGCCGCGGCAAGCGCGGCGCGATGTGGCTTTATCCACGCTGGGCACGGCCAGAGGCGATGCTCCAGGTTTTCGGGGAACCAGTCCGCCGTGCGGACGCAGTCCTGCCGCGCCCTTCCACTTCGCCGCGACATCGCTGCCGCTGCCGCGCATGACACTTGCGGTCGCGCCCCAGGACGTCGCTGGCGAGCTGGCGGCGCGTACCCCTTCCACTGAGCCGCCCCGTTCGCCAGGTTGGCAGAACAACGGCCGACGCGCCTTGCGACATTCGGCCGGGCTCCAGGCCTCCAGCAGCACTCGCTCCGTAGATTGACTCGGTCGTTCCGCCGGGCCGGTACGCCAACCCAGCGCCCCATGTCGTCGCCCAGCCCCAGCTCACGCAGGCTGCGCGAAGCATGGGCCACCGGCCCAGCGCCGTGACTCCAGCGTTGCATGCGGCGGCCGTGGTTCGCCACAGGTCGAGGTTAGGCTTTCCTCGACCTCGACCTTCTCCTCCTCCTCCTCATCATCATCCTCCTCCTCCTCCTTCTCCTCCTCCTCCTCCTCTTCCTCCTCTTCTTCTCTTCCTCCTCTCCTCTTCCTCCTCCGCCTTCTCCTCCCCCTCCTTGTCCTTCCCTCCTCCTCGCGGCGTCGCCGGTACGCCAATCCAGCGCCCCATGTCGTCGCCCAGCCCAAGCTCACATAGGCTGCGCGAAGCATCGGCCACTGGCCCAGCGCCGCGCAAACAACTCCAGCGTTGCATGCGGCGGCCGTGGTTCGCCACAGGTCGAGGTCTGGCCTTCCTCCTCCTCCTCCTCCTTTTCCTCCTCCTCCTCCTCCTCCTTCTCCTCCTCCCCTCCCCCTCCTCTTCCTCCTTCTCCTCCTCCTCTTCCTCCTCCTCCTCCTCTTAATCCTTCTCCTCCTCCGTGGCAGCAGTACAAGCAGCCACAGTCATTCCGGTCCAAGCACCCACAGGCGAGGCGGGGGATAGGGTCATAGCAATCTAAAGCGGGCGGGGGACCGGCCACAGCATTGCGTTTCGGTTTCACACGGGCGATCGCACACAGCGGCCGAGCATTGACCAGAAAGCGTACGGGAGACAGCACCAGCTTGGCATCTTACGCAGGATCCCCCAGTGACAAGCATTCTTTGTGGCGGGTACACACGTCGCATCATCGTACGTATACTCAGCCGCTGCGAACGTTTGTTTATGAGTGCGTCAAGATGATATGAGTTCGTCCGTTACTTGTGAGGCGGGCGGGGTCGACCACTGCTCCGCCCCGCTTGAGCTGACCCCTCCTCCATCCCATAGAACGCCAATGGGCTGAGTCAGGATCAATCGGATTCAAGACCCCAGATCCCACCCGATTGCATATGATTATATGCTGAAGCGAGGCATTCGACATTCCGACGGACAAGCACACGGAAGTGTACATCCTTCCTGACGGGATCCAGCCCCTGCCAATACAAGACGATTGAGTTCCGTTCTAGAACCAAATCTTCGGAATGCCGATGAAGGATCCACTTCATGATGGCGACGCATCACCATCATCGTTAGCATCACCATCATCGTCATCGTCATCCTCATCCTCATCATTCCTTGTCACCGCATTGTACGCATCGCCAGGGCTCTGGGCTGGATGGGCCCGTGTCAGACGAGCTCGGGACCATGTTCCCACATCGTCGTGACAAACGATGCGGCCTGAGTGCAAGATGATTGACACATGGCGGAGTAGGCGGAGTAGGAATTTCTCCGCGCGGACATGCATTCCGCCCCATTTGTCTCCTCTGATTGCGCGGAGTCGTTTTCGACCCCTTTCTGAGATAAGTTGTACTATTATAGCGGGTGGGCGAATTACTTCGCGAGAGAGCAGGTGCCATTTTCGCACGTTCGGAATTTTGAAGAGGGATCGGAGATTCCAACATGAATCCAAACCGCATAAACGCATGTGAGCTGTGCTCATCATACTCATCGATGCGACAGTCAGGCAAACCCAGGCAGGTCAGGCACTGGCAGTTCACGCAATGGCGGCAAGGGTTGCGTTGCGACGGCCTCATCCCGCCAAGTCAATTGCCGGCTGCCGCGCTGGATATATGCGGCTTCGCTTGCCATGCCAGATTACTAAGGCGTCGATGCTCGCTGCGCGAAGCCTGAAATACCGCTGCGCCACTACAGATGTTGGTGACGTGTAATGAGAGCGCTGAGATGACATGATTTGATCTTCGTATGTTACTTTCGCGCCAGGGGGCGCGCGGGGGTTGACCCTTGCCCCGGCCCCGCCTGAGCTTCCCCCCCTCCCAGCCCCCCCCAGAATCTGAACGACGGGTCGAGCCAGGAACTATCGTATTCACGATCCTGGATTTCTGAATGCGGCATTTCGTTCAATTACATTATAATTTTAAACGGGTAGTTCAGTTTCCCAGCATGAAACACTGCATAAAAAATCCTGCCGGACGGGGTCCGGTTTTTGGCAACGCGAGACGATTGACATATATTTCGTCACGGGATTTTCATATGTGTCGCAGCCCACTTGTGCATGTGTGTTTGCATATGCGTGCAACGCACAAGTCTACCAACATTGCTCCTTTAGCAACGGGCGCAAATCGGTCAGGAGGGTAGCCAAACGGCCCCCCGAGGGCCCAAAGAGGCCCCAGACACCGACCAGACGCCTGGAGATTACCAAACAAGACGCCGAAGAGACTTTCGAAACGCAGAAAAACATTGACGTTCCAATGTTTGTGCGTGATTCATTGGCGGACGCCGCACCGCCGACCCCTCGGGGCGGCAGTCAGAATGAAAAACGAAGTTCGCGGAACGATTTCTGAGGAATCTTGGGGTTTCAGTTTCTTGGGATTTCGTCGGGGGCGGTTGGCGGATCGCAGCTCTGCTCTTAGGCTTCGTTGGTCTCTCTTGGCAGCACTTTTGAAGTCTCGTGGGGGCCGTTTTGATGCCTCTGGGAGCCTCTTTTGGGCCTCTCGGGGGCCTCGTGGGAGCCTCTTGGGGGCCTGCCTTCTCAGGTTTTTTCGGGGCCGAGTGCTCGAAATGTTCATTCAGGTTCCCCCTCTGGGCCTCCTCTTGCGGCCGTTCTGGGGCCCTCCTGTGTCGTTTTGGAAGCTTCTGGGGCCGTCTTGGGGCCCTCCTGGACCGTCTTGGAGCCCTCTTGGGGGCCTTTTGGGCTGTGTTGGGTCGATCTTAAAGGCTTCTTAGGCCGTTGTGGGCCTCTTGAAAGCCCAAGAGGCGAATCTGCTAGCATGATAGGTATTCCTTCGGGAATGAGACGATTTTTGCTTCTGGAGGGCCTCTTGGGACGTCTCTTGGTGGTTTCTTGGGGCGTCTTGGACCGTCTGGAGGCAAGCTTGGGCGTCTTGGAGCGATCTTTCGGCGACTCGTACCCCTCTTGGACCGTCCGGGGGGCCTTTTGGGGCCTTCTTGGCCCGTTTTGGGGCCCCCTGAGGCTCGAAGGCAGCGGCCGGCACTTTGGCCCCCCCCCCCCTCCAAACCGGCCGGACCGGGCTCCCGGGGGAGGGGGAAGCATCTCACACGCCGTGACCCCAACGGGCCGGCGGATGTTTTGAATGCTTTGGTTTTTGGTGTCTGGAATTGCCAAGCAGGCCCCACAATCGCCCGAGAGTTATCCGAAATAGCCTCCAGGCAGTTCAGGAAAACCCCAAGGCGGCACAACAGGGTTCCAAGATGGCCCAGAGAGAGATCCCCGATGACGGCCCAAGATGGCCCCAATGTGCCCCCAGACGCATTCCAAATCGCGACCAGGTCGTTCGGGGAAGCCGCGGTTTGAAGCAGGGTGGCCTGAGGAAGTCCCCAGAGCCTCTCAGAATGCGCCAAGGAGGCCTCTAGACGGCCCCAACTAGCGAAGAAGAGGAACATGAGGGATGGATGATGAATCACATTAATATCAACGGCGATGTCGGAGAAAACGGCAACAAGGAGTTAACGCGGAATTATTTGTTTTATAGACCTGGCCTTCTTCTGCTTGCCAAGCTTCAAGGACCAAGGTGTATGGTGCGAAGCGCCAGTGCTGTCTTGTGTAATTGTCAGAATGCATAATTCCCCTTCCCTCCAAAGCCGTTTGCCCTTACATTCCCTGTCCTCTTCTCCATCCCTCCGTCTCTTCCTTTGTCTCTCATTTGTTTGTTTGTGTTGTTTTGGCATTTGCTTCTCTCGCTCTCCCCTTCTCTCTTGCTCTCTCTCTCTCTCTCTATTCCTCTTTGCTTTTTTCCCCCTGCTTTCTTCCATTTGCTTGTGTGTGTGTGTGTGTTTTGTTTATCTCTCTTGTCATCAGTAGGTGTCTCTGTCCCGGTTTTCCCCTCTTCCCCTTTTTTTCTGCCCTTTCTCTCGCCGTCTCCCGCTTTCTGTGTTTTGTGTTGATGTTGTATCTCTCTTTCTCCCTCTCTCTCTCCCTGCCGCTCTCCCGCGGCGCCGCCCCCTATCCCTCCCAGGCAGATCCCGCTCCAGGGCGAGTCTGCGAGCCAGAAGACAGCCGCTGCCCTGCGCGTGCGCGGAGGCGCGCGCGCGCGCGCGTCGGCGACGAGGAGCGGGGAAGGTGGACGAAGGCAGGGAATGCAGGGGGGGGGGGCAGGGAGGCACGGGAGGGAGGGACGGAGGGACGGAGGGAGGAGGGGGAGGAGGAGCGGGAGGAGGAGGAGGAGGAGGAGGAGGAGGAGGAGGAGGAGGAGGAGGGGGAGGAGGAGGGGGAGGAGGAGGAGGAGGAGGAGGAGGAGGAGGAGGAGGAGGAGGAGAGAGGAGGAGGAGGAGGCCGTAGCCATTTTGGCTCAAGTCCGTAGCGTGGCCCAGGCGTCAGCAGCGGACGGAGACTTTCTGGCATTGGGGGGCGCCTAAGAGGTGCACACGGCCCCAGCAGCTTTCCCTGACATCACCAGTCAGGGCACATTCGGTATTCAACTGCCCTGCTCGTCCTCTTTGCCAGCCACAACGTGTTGATGGCACCTTGGAAGGATGCGTCGCTTCAGTTTCTTTCTTCGCTCCAGGGGGCCGAGCCCTGGACATGTGGACACTGTGGCACGGGAGGCAACTTCGCGACCAAGATGCAGTGCCGCCAGTGCTTCGCCCCCGCGCCGAAGCACATCCAGGCGGCCATCACGCGTGCGTCCCGCTCCTCCTCTGTGCGGCGGCCGTGGCAGATGGCCAACCCCCCAGCTGGGGGTAAGGCCAAAGGCAAAGGCAAGGAGAAGGGAGACAAGGGCAAGGACAAGGGCTTCGCGGCTGGCCCCGTTCCTCGCGGCTCTGCTGGCGCTGCTTGGGGCTACTTCGGGGCCGGCACTGACCTGCTCAAGCCCAAGACTGCTGAGCCGCCCGACCCCATCGCGGTGCTCGACAAGTCGATCGGCATGCTGGAGTCCCTCGCCGACCCCAGCCTCGGGCCCATCATCGAGGCCAAGCGGGCGGAGAGGGCGACCCTTGTCGCCCAGAAGCGGGCAGGCAAGCCCCTGCACCAGCAGCTGCAGGTGTTGGAGGGCAAGATGGCCGCCGTGCAGCGCAAGCTCGCTCGCCAGCGCGATGAGGTCGTGCCCGAGCTTCAGCAGCGCCTGGCTGAGGCTCAGCGGATGCAGGAGGCGGCCAGCAAGGAGCTGGAGCAGCTGCAGGAGGAGAAGGCTCAGCTGGCCAGGCGAGTGGTTGCTGAGGAGCAGGCCCCAGCTGGGGCAGCGGGCCCTCTCGGCGGTGGCCCCCACTGCGGGCAGGCGGTCATCAGCCAGCTCGTGCAGAACCTGGAGAAGCTGGTGGGGGACACCGAGGGCGACGGCGACTCGGTGCCCAAGCCGCTCGTGGAGTCCCTCCAGAACATGCTCAAGCTGGTCAAGGAGCTCCCTCAGGCCTCAGGGGCCCCCGCTGCTGCTGCCGCCGCGCCTCCTGGGGGGCCTGATGCAGCGGCGGCTGCCGCGCCCCCAGGGGGGCCTGCTGCTGCGGCCTCGGCGGATGGCGGCGGCGGCTCAGTGGAGGCTCAGTGGCGGCTCAGTACCTCAGCGGGCTGCCCGAGGAGGAGCGAGCCGCCAAGCGGGTGGTGCTGGGCTCCTTCTACGACCTCCACGGCGAGGAGGCGCTCCCCAAGGCGCCTCTTTGATGGGCCCGCGGGCCCGCCCTTGCTCGACTGGACGACCTACGGGGACGGCCAGTTCTGGACGAGCGAGGGCCTTTACGAGGAGGAGCTGCACGGGGTTGGCTTCTCTGAGGGCGGCTGGGACGCGTACGCTGGCCAGGGCGATGGCTACTGCGCGCCCGCGGCCATGGGCAGACAGCCACCGCCCGCCGACCCCAACACTCCTCAGGCCATCTACCTCGAGGGCAGGACGCAGCACATTGGGGATGCCCCAGCTGGGCCGTCTCAGAGGCGCCGACGCACTCGGCGAGGGGCTCGACACGTCATCGCCGCCACCTTCAATGCCAATCTCTCCTGGGCTCGCGTCGAAGAGTTCATGGACGAGGAGACCGGCCAGCTCATCAAGAGCGGCGGCGTCCCCGTCATTGCGGTGCAGGAGCACGCGAAGCCCGCCGAGTGGTTCCACGTCACTGCGGCGGCGCAAGAGCCACGGGGCTGGCGAGTTGTGGGTGCGCCTGCCGTGCGCGCGGCGGAGGGCGGCTACTCCGCGGGTGCGGCGCTGGCCACGCCGCGCTGCCTGAGCCTCAGCCTGGCGCCAGGCCAGGCGTCGTGGGACATCTCTCCCGCGGGCGCCGCAGGCAGGCTGTGCTTGGGCATGACCGAGGTCAAGGGCATCGGCTGGGTGGCCTTCTTCTCGGTGTACCTGTTCACGGGCAAGCCCGTCACCTGGGCCCTGAACGCGGCCTTGCTGGGCGCCATCGTGCACTGGGTCTGCCAGATGAGGGCCCCTTGGATGGCCATGGGCGACTTTAACAATGAACCGCACGCCATCCTTGACAGCCCCTGGAACCAGGAGGCCAAGGGCCAAGTTCTAGCCTGGCAAGGGGAAGGCGGCACCTGCAGGTCCAAGGTGGTAAAGCAGGGCGTGGAGGAGTTTAAGGATCGGGTCATCGATTTCTTCTGGATGGATGCGAGGTTGGCCATGATCTTTTGTCCAGTGAAGTCCTTCGAGAACATGCCCTACAGGCCGCGCAGGCCGACTTGGATCCGCGCCGACAAGCCCTGGCACGCGTGCCAAATCCAGGTCCTCAAGGGCCCCAAACAGTACCCCATCACTAGGCCGCCACCTGTCAGGCAGCCCGAGATCCCGCAGGGTTACCCCAAGCTCGACCTGCTCCACGGCTCGCAGCAGCACCTGGACCAGTGCTGGAGCGGGTTTTGCTCTGCAGCTGAGGCCGAGCTTCGATCTCTTTTCGGCTGGACGGAGTCGGAGGCACGCAGGTATGAAGGCCGAGGCTTGACTCCCGAGGTGGTGCAGAGACAGCTTCTTCCGAAGCACGACAGCCCCGTGGCTGATCGAGGCCCAGCCATGGCCTGGCGTTGGGCCGCGGGGGAACTGGCCTGGGTTGGCCATCTCGTCTGCTGCGTCTTACGGGGCCAGCCGGCTCCCAAGACCAAGTCGGAGGCCCCAGCAGGCCTGGCTACCACCTCGGGAGAAGGGCCTCCTCGATCCTACAACGAGGAGGTCACAGGCCAGCTCAGACGGGCCTGGAGGAAGCTGCTCCTGGCGAGGCACCACTGGGACCAGCTGGAGCCCTGGAGCGCGGGCTTATTGCCAGCGCTGCGCTCCTTCGCCGACGTGGAGCCCCACATCATCGTCGCGCAGGCCATCTTCGCGCTGCAGCAGTTCGCCAAGGTGCGGGCCCAGACCTGGGAGCAGCACCTCATGCGGCAGCGCTCCAAGCGGTTCTACGAGCGCCTGAGCGCGAAGTTCCCAGGCTCAGGGGGCTACCTGCACCGCATCTGCCACTGGAAGCAGGCGTGGAAGGAGCCCATCTCGTCGGCCAAGAAGCTGAAGCTGCCAGCGGACCCGCAGCTCGCGGTCAATCAGGAGGCGCAGGAGTGGGCCAGCATCTGGCGCGCTGGGGCAGGTGACTACACCAAGCTGTGGCAGGACACTCAGGTCCAGACCCAACGGCTGGCCCATGCGCAGCAGCTGCCCATCATCGACGCGATGCAGGTGCGCACCATCTGCCGCAGCTACAAATGGAAGACTGGGCTCGGGCTCGACGGCTGGCACTTTGGGCACCTGGCCTGGCTCAGTGATGAGGCTTTGACCAGCCTCGGGGGCATCCTCATGCTGTGCGAGCGGCTCTGCTCGTGGCCCACGGCCATCCGCCTGCTCATCCTTTTCCTGGTCGCCAAGGAGGGCGGCGGCGGCAGGCCCATCACCCTTTTTCCCACGCAGTGCGCATCTGGGAGGCTGTGCGTGATCCCTTGATTCGGCAGTGGGAGCGGGCCCACGCGAGGCCCTACGACTGGGCAGCACCAGGACGCAGCAGTGAGCATGCTGTTTGGAGAGCGATGTTGGATGACGAGGCTTTGGAGGGTACCAGTTTCTTGTGCCTCACCGCTTTGATGGATCTGGAGAAGGCTTATGAATATATAGCGCTCAACTTGATTTGGATTCTCGGCCTGGTACAGCAAGCACCCATGAGTGTCTTGGCCCTTGCTCTGGAGTCGTACGCCTTCCCTCGGGCGGTCCGAAGGGGCCAGGCTGTTGCCGACGCCATCTGTACCTACGTGGGGCTACCCGCTGGGTCGAAGTATGCCAATCGTTTCTTGAAGATTTTGCTGTATCCGATCCTGGACGTCGTGGCCCGATGGCCAGGGGCCAAGCTGGATATCACGAAGTTTGTGGACGACTTAGCCCTACGGCTGGTGGGCAGGAGCGCACAGCTGAAGGTGATCTTCCCTGACCTGGTCCGCACCCTCATCCGCCTTTTGGAGTCGCTGCTGCAGCTCAAGGCCTCGAAGGGTGAGGGAGGCAAGTCAAAGTTCGTCTCCAGCGACGGCTCCTTGGCGCAGGAGCTGGCGCAGCCCATGGCGGACATCGGCCTGCAGCACGGTGAGAGCGAGCGCTGGTTGGGCGTGGATTACCAACCTCAGGGCCCTCGGAAGAAGGCCACCAGAGCCAGACGGGCCAAGACAGCCCGAGGCCGCTGGCACAAAGCGGCTGCCCTCAAGCGCCGAGGGGTGCGGGTGCGCCTTGTGGTGCAGCAAGGCCTCAAAGCGTCAGTGGCGTATGGGGCGACCTGCGCTGGCACTCCTCCTGCCGTCCTCAAGTTCGTCACGGCCAAGACAGCTGCCGTGCGCGCGGGGGCTGGGACCTTTCGCTCGGGCACGTTGGGCTGGGCGCTCGCGCCGAGGACGGACGGCGCCGAGCAGCTCAGGTTCGCCCCTCTTCGGGCTTGGCTGCGCGAGGCCTGGGACCAGCCCGAGAGACGGAAGGAGATGGCCCACGCGTGGGGCCGTCAGTGGCCCAAGGTGCAGCGTGCCCTCACCTATGGCCCCGCCAAGTTCGACGCCTGGAAGATGGCGCGGGGGCCAGCGGCTGCCACCATTCTGACGGTGCACGAGCTGGGATGGCACATGGAGGACGCCTGGACCATCCTCGACGGCGCCCACGGCAAGTGGGACATCCGCGAGGTCGCCCCCCTCGAGATCCTGCGATCTGCAGAGAGGGTGGTCGCAAAGAAGAAGCTCATGGACTGGGCGCTAGCTGATGAGGAGCGCCAGCCGCTCCGACCCACCCCTTTCTTGCTGCCAGTCAAGCAGCTCATGCGCTCCAAGATCACGGAGACCTGGCGAGGCACCACGTCAACATGTGCCAGGACGGTCGCGCTAGGAGGTTACCCTGTACAGACGGTGTGCTACGAGCGCGGCCAGGTCACGAGCCCTCTGTGCCCGTTGTGCGGCAAGAAGAAGGGCACTTTGATGCATGTGTATTTTCTTTGTGATGCAGATGTTTGCGTCACGATTCGTGATGGGCTCACGGAGCCGACCCTCAAGAACAGTTTTCGAGACGTGGTGCACTTGGGCGAGACGGCCGCCACGAAGGAGGAGCAGGGTTGCAGAGGCGGCGACGCGCTTTTCTGGAAATGGGCTCGCGGCCTGATCGCGGACCCCGTGGCCGACTACCAGGTGCCCACGCCGCCCGACGAGTATCAGTGGGGCGATCCCGACGGCGAGATGGTGCTGTCGGGCTGGGTGGCCACGGACGGCTGCGTCCTGTCCCCCGACGTGGAGGAGGTATCCACGGGAGGCTTCGCCGCCATCACCTGGAGCGCTGAAAAGAAAAGTGAGATTCAGTCCCTGTTCGGTGCTGTGCCAGTTGCGAGGCCCACGTCGGCCCACTGTGAGATTTGGGCTGTTTACCAGGCTGTAAAGCACTCGGTCGGGCTCGTAGGGCTCCTGATTGATAGCAAGCAGGTCGTTCAGGGGCTCTTGGCGGGCAACGAATTTTGTGTGGCTAGCGAGCAGATAACCGCGCACCTGTGGAAGCTTGTTACCATGCCCTGGAGGATCAGTGTCTCATCCCAGGGGAATCCCTTCAGGTAGTCAAGATTAAGTCTCACATGACCAAGGCCCAAAGAGCCAGTCTTTCGGGTGAGAGTCTTGTGCATTTTGATATGAATAGGTGTGCTGATGCTCGTGCAAGAGAGGGAGCTGATCCCTATGCCGCCCCAAAGTGGAAGGTGGAACAGGTCAAGCAGTGTCTTAAATTTCAGAAGAGGCTGCTACAGTATGCAGCGTCTTTCCGAGTAGATCTTAGCGAAGCCAAAGCCACCACCACGAGCCTGCCGTCCCCTGCTGGTCGGGCTCGGAGGAGCGAACGTATTGCCCGCCCTTTGGCAGTCGCGCCTGAGCGGGCCCATCGTTTTAGACTCCTTGAAGGTGGTAGGTGGCAGTGTCTGGATTGCTCTCGCCTCGTCCGCGTGGCCGCTCGTCTCAGCATGGCCAAGCGGGAGTTGTGCCCAGGATGGGGGGGAGCCATTTCAAAAGGCAGGGCCCGTTTGAAAGTCAAGGCCCTGGTCCACGGTGATTGTTTGACGGACCAGATCCGTGCAGCTGCGGCTGAGAGGGCTGCGGAAGCAAGGGGGTCTGGGTCCCAGGTTTCACCTCCACCCCCACCTCGGGAACACGAAGTGGTTGAGAAGGTGGGTTATGCTGTGTGCCGAATTTGTGGGGCTTTCGCCCGTTCCCGAGCCCAGAAGTTGTTGCGGGAATGCGAGGGCCCTTTGATGAAGGGTATTGTCGCCCATCGGTGGCGGAAGCTCTATCGTGATCGAATCCTGGACGGTAAGACTCCGTACACGGGAAAGCCCGTGCGAGAGCAGGATTGACCAGTTTTGCCAAGGTGATGTGTGGTCCAGAGGCCCGTCCCCAAGAGCCCCCCAGTCAAAAAAAGAGGAGGAGGAGGAGGAGGTGGTGGAGGAGGAGGAGGGGGAGGGGGAGGAGGAGGAGGAAGAGGAGGAGGAGGGCAGGGGGCCGTGGGAGAACGAGCGGGGGCGACGAGGGGAACGGAAAGGGAGGGATCTGGAGGAGGGGAGCATGCGGCTGGAAAGGGAGGGGGGCGCACGAGCAGGTGCACGAGGAGCTACCCCGCGGCGATAAAGCGGAAGCAAGGGGAGGTTGCGGTGGTCGGGGACAGCCAAGAGGGGGGTGATGACTATGAGGGGGGATATCATGGCGTGGGCCATGAGACCTCCCCAGATCTCGTGGCGCCTCTTCTTATTTCGGTACGTCCCTGGCAGCCCCCCTGGGCCGCGCATATGCCGCCGGCCATGACTGGCGCCCCCCCCTCTTGGACGCCCCCTCTTGGACGCCCCCAAGGGGGGGTCGAAGGAGCAGGAGTAGGAATGATAGGAGCAGCAGGTGCAGCAGGAACAGCAGTACCAACGCCGACAAGCAACAGTGTATCGAGGGAGCGCCCACACACCAAGAAGAGAATGAACAGCGATTCCCACCGAATGCACGTCTTGCATGCCTTTCAAAATAACGAAGCCACGCCAAGCCCGAGCCGTTTACCATGACCGATTTTCGATGGGCAGTGCCACCACAGGTCATCATCAATGACGGCGCAATTAGCAAGCATACCCCGAACAGCACCGCTGGATGTATCTTGAGGTTCCCCGCGTTGACGACCAACACTGGGCGGATCAGCGTGAAGGATTGCACATATCGGAAAACGGGCCGGACAACGCAACTACGACGACGACTTATTTTACAACCACTACTGCGACTAGCACTATTACGATTACGATTACTACTGCCACTGCTACAGCCACTAGTATTCGTACTACCACTACTACTACTACTACTACTACTACTACTACTACTACTACTACTACTACTACTACTACTACTACTACTACTACTACTACTACTACTAGACTACTACTACTACTACTACTACTACTACTACTACTACTACTACTACTACTACTACTACTACTACTACTACTACTACTACTACTACTACTACTACTACTACTACTACTACTACGACTACTACTACTACTACTACTACTACTACTACTACTACTACTACTACTACTACGACTACTACTACTACTACTACTACTACTGCTACTGCTACTGCTACTACTACTACTACTACTACTACTACTACTACTACTACGACTACTACTACTACTACTACTACTACTACTGCTACTACTACTACTACTACTACTACGACCGCCCCGGTAGGGGCCCGATAGGGGCCCGACAGCCGATAGGGGCCCGACCGCCCCGGTAGGGGCCCGATAGGGGCCCGACAGCCGATAGGGGCCCGAGAGCCCCGACCTGCCCGGGAGGATGCGGATTCACGATCGGAGGCTTATCGCCGATGTGTCGGCGATGTATCGCCGATTCCAGGTTTAAGTCGTGCGTGTCCCTCTACAGGAGGCGAACTCGGGAATAGCAAAACATAGTCTGGGAGCGAATTATTTTACTATCATGGACTATTTTTGAGCATGGTTTGACTGCTTTAAAATGTTCTCCCAAAATCCGCCTGTAGGAGGACATGCCCGACCTAACTCCGGGTCGGTGCATCCCCCCTTGTGCCAGTCTCCCCCCCATCGGCGTGGACGCCATGACAATGGACACTCTAGCAATCTTATCATTCAACTAAACATGTGTTTAAACTGTGTGAAACCTGTTCTAAGCATGCTTCAAACGTGTTGTTACACATTTCAACAATATGTCTGACACGTTTCTTGGACATATGGAAATTATTTGGCAGCATGCTTCCTCTCCTTTAATCGATTTCTTCAGCCCTATCGTCCCCCCTCGCCCGCCCTCGCGAGGCCGGCGCGGCCCGGAGGAGCTGCGGGCCTGGATGCGCCGTGCTCGGGAGGGTTGCGAGGCCACGCGCTCAGTGAGCTCCCGTGGAGATCCATAGCAGTCTGCCTTTCGGCGTCACCCCAACATACTGATCCTATATGTGCGTCGCCCCCATCAGCGGCGACGCGCGCACCCAGAAATCTTATAGTATATGCGTCTTGGCGGGCGTTTTCTGGCCACACCGCTCGGGAAACGATCTACTGCAAGCTGGTTATACTGTATGTTCGGGTCGGACGCGCGCCTCCAAGGAGGACATGTAGTATTAGTATGTTTCTGTGCGTCCCATTCCTCATCTCTCTTCGGCCACGCGCAGAGGGGGGCACGGGGAGGGGGGGAAGGCTTCTTAGGAGCATCCCTGCTTCTTAGAAGGCGCTGGCCTCATCGAGAGATGTAAGGCCCGTGCCTTCTAAGAAGCAGCCTCCTTCTAAGAAGCCTTCCCCCCCCCCTACCCCCCTCAGCGCGCCGCCAATCTCTCTCTTTCTCTCTCATTCTCTCTGGTCGGATCTCCCTCCGTCGACTCCCCCCCCTCCTCATATGGTAACGGGCGGGAGGGAGCGAGAGCTGGATGGGCCCTGGGAGGAGAGTAGCGAGGGCGGGCGGGCAGGACGGGGCGGAGAGTTGGTGCAGGGGGAGGAGAAGGACTCTGCGGTCGAGGACGAGAAGACGCAGAATGTTCGATGTTGTTGTTGACTGTGTGGTTGAGGACGTTGTGGTTGAGGATGTGGATGGGGCCGATTTTGAGGACGTGTACGTAGAGATGGTGGAAGCGGAGTGCGACACACGAGAGGATGATATGAGGAGGACGACGATGGTGGCGGTGAGGCGGCGATGAGGAAGAGGAGGTGAGGGATTGCGAAGAGGAGCAGGAGAGGGAGCAGGCGAAGAATTCGGGGTAGGAGGAAGAGGATGGGTGAGCGGCACAGGTCCAAGAGGAGGAACAGGAGGAGGAGGAGGAGGAGGGGGAGGAGGAGGAGGAGGAGGGAGCAAGTCGCGCAGATGGGAGCGGAGGAAGGGAAATGGGCGCCGACTGGAGAGCGTCCGCAGGGTAACGAACTCAATCAGGGTAGGCAAAAAGAGAACGCGGAAGGCAGCAGGGAGCACCAGAAGTGTCTTGCTAGAGCTTCACGTTCGGGAGGGCGGCTGCCAGCGGCGGCAGCAAGGCGGCACGACGACGACGACGACGGCGAAAGACCGACGACGACGCCGAGCCAGCCACAAAGGAAAGGCAACACGAGGAGAGGCCAGTCCGATCCAGAGTCCCCGCCCAACTCCTCCGCCCGAGCCCCCCCCTCAACATCTCTTGATGCGGCATCCTCATATCGGAGAGACTTCGACACCAGGCGCAGAGTCGGGCTGAGCGGCGCAGGACCGTCCTGCAGGACCTCACTTGTGGAGGGATGGAGGCCTCTGGCGGCCTTGGCCAGTTTTCGGAGCTGCTTATCACGGGTCGACGGAACTTGAGAGGGCCCACGGCATTGGTCCATCAGAGTTCTCGGGACCCCATGTGGCAGCACACATCAAAACACAGCCGTGTTTCTCAACAGAGTGACCACGACCGTTAATTCTCGGATAGCAATTGCACCATCATCTCCCAACAGGTTCTCATGAGGAGGGGGAAGCGGAAGCAAACCAGCAGTTTCGAGGGCTTGGTCCGCATCCACCACAGTTGCAGTTTTCAAAGGCCGCGCTCGATTTCCGCGCGCGCGAAGCCACTCCTGGCATTTAAAAGCATCGCACCTCACCAGTACCTGCATCGAAACAGAAAGTGTGTCCATGGAGGCTGAGCTGCGGCGCGCGAGGGGCTCGACAAACGTCTGGAGGTGGCGGGATGTCCGTCCAGCGCTTCAACCGCACAACTCTGGCCGCAGCCCAAGAAATATAATCAATTGTGGACCGATGAACCTTGAGCTCACCTGCATCAGCCTCGGCCTTGGTCCGAGCGAGCATCATGCGTGTCGACGCAAGTTTGGCAAAAAGGCCAGCCCACGCTTTACCAACCCAGGCAACTGTATCTAGCCCTCGCTCAAGAACTTACTCGAGGGTAGGTTGATTGGGGGTCCACAGGAGGGGAGGATCATCAGGAGACCTACGCGTGGCCAGCGCAAACGCAGACCTTCAAATGGCAGCATACTTTTTCATTCCGCAGGCATTCTCGGGGTCCCAAGCCTGCTCCTCCTGAACCAGTGAGAGCAGGTCTGAGACAACAAACAAGAGACGAGTTACGCTTCATGGCGTGCAGAAGTGCAGTTCTTTCCACACGGCCCACAGTCTGAACAGCCCCTTCCAGAGAACCGAACACGGCACGGACGGGAAACAGTTGGGCATTTAATTGAATCATCGCCCAGCCAGCACGCCTGACCTCGGGCACCGTTGGGGCTTCAGCGCTACCATCCCCGAAGGTGACAGGCCCCCACTCCCCACCCGCATCAGCCCACTCCCAGACCTCAGAAGTTCTAGGCGGGGATGGAAGCTGCATGGAGACGTAAGGGGGGGCCCATACTTTCAACATCTGCATTATCATAATCAGGATCTAACGGGGGGCGGTGCCCAATCGCTCGCAGAGCATCCCGATGAGAGGCATGACGTTCACACAAAGCCTCAAAACCAGTCAACGATTCGCTCTAGTCGGGCTGCATAAGAGCAGGACAATCACACCAGAAATGCCCGAACGATCCATCCTGTGATTTACAAGCTGGGCAATGGGGCCCAATGTTTTTCTCCCAAGCAGAAACGTGAGCGGGCGTGGGGTAGCGGTCAGCCCGCAGCCCGTGAAGTGCACCCATCGGCGCCGGCTTCAAGTCGCGAAGTCCCAGTCGTAGAGTTCGCTCCCAAACATCATGAGTAGCCTCCTGACCCCGCCAGTGATACGTCAGCTGCTGTACCTGCCAGCATTTCACAGCATCCTCCAAGAAGGCTTTCATGTCAGCAGGCGCCACTCGGAGTAGGTCGTAGTCCTCCCCCCTGGTCGCTGCGCCACTGATGTGGAGAAACAAGGGCCCAGCCAATTCTGTTCCAGGTAAGCCATACAACGCCGAGCGGCCAACGAACGCCAGCTCATGTCAGCCCTGTGTCGTGTATAGGAGCAGACAGAGCTTCCCAGGCATGTCGCATATCACTAATAGGAAATCGGGCGTCCCTGACAAAGCAGTGTTATCGACACCAAAGTGACGTCGTGGCATCAAACATCGGATCATGACGAATCTGCCATTGACAGTAGAGGTAAGCCGTCTTCTGCGCACGAGGCGGTGCACCCACCACCGTGTAGCCACACCTCGCGCAATCATCAGGGCGCGGTCACTCATGCCTGAGACCCCAGCACCATGAGCGACAGCAGGCTGAACGCCTGCTCGCCAGAGCACCGAAGCCTTGCGTCCAGCAGCTTTCTGGAAGAGCTGCAGCCGATGCCGTCGTTGCTAGAGGTCACGTAGTCGAGACTTTCCCTGGAGCCTCAGGGGACGTATGCCCATGGTCTCGGGGCCAAGTGAGCTGAAACTTGGATTGTTTGACCAATATCTTAGTGGCTTGAGTGCCGACAACAATCCCTGACTTCTATCACTGAAACAAGGTCAAAGGATGCGCGAATCCCTTTGAAAAAGCCGCACGGCCAACTCTAGCGCCTTCACGCCAGCTGAATCAGGACCAGCGTATTGCACCGAGACCTCGTCGACCAAGGTTCTGGGAACTAAATTGCCATGCACCTCTCGCAACCAAAGTACATCACGAAGCATACGGACCTCCAGCATGCAAACGGCATGCGTGCAGCCCGCCAAGCTGCCCTGATACATTTGCAGGGAATCCGATTGCCGTAGCCCTTCAGCCGGCGAGGAAGCTGATACATGCGCAGCAAAATGTAGAGCATCCTGGGCGGGTAGCACAGCGCCAGCCCCTCTCTGAACAGCTGCGACGGCCGCACACGGTCGAATGCTTTGGTGAGGTCGAGAAGGATCGTCGCACTGAATTGACCGCATACAATTGCCACCTCAGAAGCTAAGTTGTGAGCGAATGCGCTATCCTAAGAAGTATAGCGAGGCCGATTGCCCCACACGTGCTCACAACGATGTCGGGAGATGTCGCGAGATGTCGCGCCGTAGTCGCACCCATACTCGCTGCAAAGTGTGGGCCACCGCGGCCAGCCGATGCCCCTCATCAGCCTTCGGGATGAGACACCTCATAGACAAGACACGATCAGCTGGCCAATCCAGTAAGAGCTCAGAACGAATAAAGAATCGAATGATCATGTCGAGAGTCTCATCAGAAAATGTGCCAAAGCAGCCGAGGGTGAAGGGTACAAGGTCCAGTAGACGTGCGCTTGGGAAACATCATAATAGCACGCCTCAAGGTGGTCACTTCAACTGGTGGAAGAAGATGCCAGTCAGCAGCCTCAGCAGATGGGGCCACGGGTAAACATCCATGTCTTGTCCATATGCCTTTCCAGCTCTCCATGCCAGTATTCGCCAGCACAGTTGGCTGGAGCCTATCAGGATCACGAGAGAAAACTAGCACTTGATCGATCGCCTGCACCTTCGATACTCGATGCGCAACAGAGGCGCCATCCTGGGCAGCCACGCGCTGAAACGTCATCCAGGCCTGGTAGGAGGTCTTCTGGTCCTCCTTGCGCAGCTCAGTAGCCTCAGCCCCCAAGGCAGCGAAGAGTGCCTGGAAAGAAGACGCCGCCAGCACATCTAATCCCGACGCAAAGAAAGACAGCAGTTGCATCGGGAGCTGCCGCAACACCACCTGGTTGCGCATCACGTTCGTGAGGAAGCCGCTGACCACATGGAAGGCCTGCAGTAAGACCGAGCACTGCGCAGGCTCGAGCTGGCATTACGTTGGACAATTGCAACCTCGAGACAAGAGTGCGTAGCCTGTCACGCTCCTTCTGCAACTGCATCATCCATCTCAGCGCCGTGTTCAACCAAGTGTCTGAGGCCTCTTGGAAGGGCAACGTGTTGGAGCTTAAGCTGCCGCCAGGTAAAGTGAGGACGCCCCAGCTGATATGAGCAACTAACAGCCGGCCAGGGATGATCTCTTTCTCGGGAAATGCGGGTGCCGATATCATGATACCAGTGTGCACCAACATAGCAACACCAACCAGCAGGCGGAGAAGAAGGTGGGAGGAGGAGGTGGAGGAGTAGGAGGAGGAGGAGGAAAAGGAGACGGGATGAGCGAGACGGGATGCTGAGGACGAACAGCGAAGAGGAGGGTGAAGAGGCGGGAGGCGGGGGCTGAGTATACAGTCGGACCGAGGCATAAGATCGAGGTCGGTTCGGGAAGGGTGCCTTAATCTTATTCGTGTTTGTTGGATGCTCTCGTGCATCTTTGGGAGCGTACCATTGGCCGTTCTGTTTGTTTTGGATGTTCTTCTGGCCCAGGCCCGACTGTAGGTGCACATGGCGTGTACCAGGTCAGCTGCAAAGGAATACAGTAGCGTGGGAGTCTAGAAGGCGGTGCATGGCCAGGAGAGGAAGAGGATGAGTCAAGCTAGCCTGCTGTAGCGAGCCAGCATCCCCCCCTCCCACCGTCCCATTTGCAATTATAATACGTGTATGCACGTGCTTTGACTCGCCAAGGGCAGCATCTGTCACATGTTGTGCCACGTGGTCGACATAGACACCTCGCAGACGTCAACTCGTCCGATGTCTCAGCGGGTTACGTTGAATCTTCGGGGGACCTCGCTTGTCTCTATTATGTGTGTCTTCTTTTCTGCCCGACGCGGGCTTCATGCGGACCCGACACGGATCGGGCGTGGATTCGGCGCGGATTCGACGTGTATTCGACGTTGATTTGACGAGTCCGATATGGATTTGATACGGATTCGAGTCGGATAGGGTCGCGACGGGACAGACACGATCCCCCGAAGATGTAATATAAAGCTGTTGTGATTCATGAGCGTTTTCAGGGTGCCGCTTTCGTGTCTGTCAAAGTTTGCACCAGAGCGTACCCGCAATCGACCAAATCGTCGGTGGTCGCAGTGGGCGCACCATGGCGCAATGCATTACGGCATCTGCTGCGCAGGCATCTCGCCGTCGACCGAAGCACTCGTTGCCTCAGTTGCTGAGGCGAGGGCGGCATCCGGAGGCTGGTTGCGCGATGTGTGCCGCGCATTTCTGCCGCGCAACCCCAATGTCGACGGCAGCACGTCAATGTTGCAGCGCAGCACGGCTTCATCTGATTGTTCTATCGATTGGCATGGCAGAGCTTTCCGCTCGGATCTGCGACCTGCAGTGAAAACGAGGGGAGTGGTACCCTGCAGCGGGGAGTAGGACTTGATTGGCTGAGGAGGGGGGAATGTCGGATGGCTGTGATATGGGCCATGCTATTGGTGGTGATGGGAAGAGGGGGACGAGAGGAGAGGCTTGAGGAAACGGACAAGCACGACAGGCAGCCACGGAGCCAGCAGGATGAACCACGGACATAGACGGATGCCGATGGCACGCGGGAGGCGTTGAGATAGGCGGGCCGATAGACACGTGACCAACCGGCGGGAGCTACGGCGCCAAGGTCATCGAGAGTGTGCCCCTCGGCCCAGCTGGCAGTGCGCTTGGTGTCTCAGGCGCCGACTGATACTGGTATTATTATGACTGCCATTATTATTATTCTTCTTATTATTAGTGTTGTTGTTGCCTCCGCTCGTCTTCCTCCCACTCCTCGCCTCGACCTCCAGGTCCTCGCTCCTCTCCAGGTCCTCGCTCCTCGCTTCTGACTCCACTGCTGTTCATCCCCTTTCTCGACCCCCTTGCACCTCCCCTTCATCCATTGCTCTTCCCCTCTCCGTACTTCCCTTCTGTGCCCCTCCCCTCGTCATCGTAGTCGTTCCCGCCGTTGCCGACGGTGTTATGGTTCTGTTTTCTGTCGCTGCGTCCTCGTCCTCTACGACATCATCCTCATCCGCCCCCTCCTCTTCCCCACCTCCTTCCCATTCTCCTTTCACATTATCATCGTACTCCGCCTCTACATCTCCCCCTTCTTGCTCTTGCTATTGCTGGTGCTGCTCGTCCACATCATGTAGACAAGCAGGTGGATGAAGATGATGACATTCAGGGGCATGATACCTGGCTACATGACTTGATGAATGCACGTCATGCTCTGAACTGGGCTTCATTGCATTCTGCACGCGCGAAAACTAATGGAGGATGATGGTGCCGATGAGGAGGTGGAGGATGAGAAAGAGGGAGGAAGCGGGATTAGGACGAGCAGGAGGGGGGGGGGGTGCGACATGGCGGATGAGGTGGAGTGGAATGTATTGCGCAGTGGGTACGGGAGTTGCTTAGGGAGGGAGGAAGGAGAGGTAAGAGAGGGAGGAGAAGGAGAGGGAGGAGGAGAACAGATAGTGGCAACATGCGGAGGAGGAGGCTGAGGAGGTGGAGGAACAGAAAGGGGCATGTAGCGTTTATCTTGAAGCGCTGTACTGGTCCGCCGCAGCCGTGCCTCCCAGGCGCCCCCTCCCATGCTGTTCTGCTCCTCGTCCTCCCATTCTCTCCTTTTCTCATTTCTCAGCTTCCCTTCATGTACCACCCACGCCTCTCCATCCTCCACCCACACCTGTTCCTTATCTTCCTCCTAGGCGCTCTCTCCATCTCCTGTTCATCCCCTCCTGGCCACGCCATCAATGAACGTTTCGACAGCATCCCTTCTGCCTCATTCCTAACGTGTCCCTCCCCCGGCAGCCTCGTTTTACCATCTTCTGCATCCTGCTCATCATCCCTCTTCGCTCCCCCCTTCCTCTGGGGGCGGACACAGCGGCACCGTCTGGTCTGCCATGTTGGCGAGGGCCCCGTTTTAAAGCGGCATTGCTTTGCACCCTGGTGGGGCG